TATACAATATAGGAAAAATTTCTATAGATAACACCTATATACACCTGAATCCCCAGAAGTACATCTTTCCAATGATTTTATTTAGTGATTTTTAATTCAGTGGGCTATCCTGTTCAAATGAGTAACATATTACTCAGCTAACTGTTCTACTATTTTAAAAGATAAAATTTAAGTTCTATTCTTCTACACTGTTGTCGGTATTCTCAAAGATGTATCTCAAAATTCCACATTTTTGGTTTTACTTTTTGGAAAAGTGAATATAAGGAATAATTTCACTACTCTGAATAACTAGTATTAGTCTATGTGGGAGATCTATACAGTGAACAAAACTTATTTGTGCTATCAAATAAATATTATTTGTTCAATTCTTCCATCTATAAAGCAGCACAGTAAAACACCATATATTTAAAAATTTTCTCTGATTAGCTAAGTTTTTTTATAACTCATAAGCACCCAAATTAATTTCCAAATCCAATATTAATATTAAAAATAAAGAAGGCATTCTTATATCAAAATCTCTGAATAAATAACCAAAAGAAAAATTTACAAAGTTTTGATTTAGAAGAAGTTTCCAAAAAAATCAGTATTTTAAAAGCCAAAAATGAATCATGTTGGTTCTGCTGATTTGAAATCTCCTAAAAAAAAATAAGATGGCCATAGTGGTACCATGGGTGGAGCATTAGACTGGAAGTCAAAAAAAAAAAAAAAGGAGACAGTCTCGCTTATAAATCATAATTATCTCTATTGACTTGTTTTGAGACATTTTTCAGTGCAAATCCCAGAAATCCTCAGAAAAGGAAAGCTTCACATTTATATGTGTTCTATTTTACACTTGCTGTATCAGTTTTTTTCAGTGTTATTTACCTAAAACATAGCTATTTTTCCTAAATAAAACAGGATTTTACTTTATTGGAAAGAAAATTCTTCTACAGATTTTTATTAGTCCTAACAAATCAAATCTATTTAAAAGTTTCCCTAAACAGAATCTTTTATTTCTTAAAAAATTTTTATTCACTCATAGGATTATAAAGAAAAAGGCACTAGATAATGTAGTCAACAGAGAGAAATTATAAAGGGAAAATTTCTCGAAGATTAAATTGAGAAGATAATTGGATATAAGGAAATCTATGATTTGTGGAATAAAAAAGAATCTTGTTATTTTAAGAAGCTGTTACGGTATAAAGTCATTCTTTTTTTTTTTCGTCATAGACCTTTTTAAGAAAGCCATGGAACCACTCCTTCCTGCATTTCACATACAAAACTTCTACACAATTTCAGAGGATTCATAAATCCCTCAAAACCCATGGAATCTCAGATTAGTAACACTGGTAGATGTAAAAGCTCTCTGACCTAACTCAAAGGATAATCTTATAAAAGATGTAAGTTTAACAATCTCTTTGAATTCCACATTAAACCAATCACACTTTTACTTTAAAATCTTGAATAATAAAGCATAATATA